TCCCCTAATGAGATGCAGAATCAGTTCTATGATGCTCAGAGAAAACATTATCCCAGAAATATGAGGCATAAGGATTTATACAAAATGAATGTCGTCCGTGGAAGAAAATCCAAAACTCTAACAATACAAATAAAGAATCACAGGGCAGATCTTCTTCCATGATGAAAGATGGAAGAAAAAAAAATGGGGGGAAAAAATCACACTTGCACATAGAAGCTGCTAATCCCTAAGGCTCTGAGTCGAGGGGAGAAACCCTAGAGAAAGAATGAATAACTTTCAAAGTATGATTTGGAAATTTGAATTAATAAAAAATGTTCCTCTTGAAAGCCACTATAATAATAAAGGTTTTATTTGTCAAAACTTTGATGAAAAAAGTCAGATGACAAATAAAATAAAATCTCCAAAGAAGGATTTTACAAATGTTACCCGCCAGGACCTTGGCACTGGTGAGGAAGGGAAAGGCAGATCGCCGTTTGCCGCCTCACCTCTGATTAGAAGTCTTGGCAATGTGAATCCAGTCCACACAAGTTCCTGGCATGAGGAGAATAGCATTTTCAGGTTGGACCCTTCTTTGTCCTGTAAACACACAGCCTCTTAATTTTTTTGGCCCAGAACAAAGAAAAAGTGCCATTAAATATATTAAATCCCCTGCTAAGTGTCATTTTGAACCTGTAGGGCAACAGGAGATTGCCTTATAGAAAGAATGTGTCACACACAAAGCAAGAATGATTCCTTATTCAAATGCCTATGCCAGATCAAAGCAAGACACTTAGGCGCAAGTGAACACCCTGGAATTAGAACAAGTGTACAAACAACATAAATCCCACCCTGTCCAGATAGTATGAATGATGGTTAATTGGAGATAAGAGTCTCACTGACTTTCCTGCCCAGGCTGACTTTGAACCACAATCCTCAGATCCCAGCCTCCTGAGTAGCTAGAATGACAGGCATAAGCCAGAGGTACCTGGCTATCACTGAAATTTTGAGAGAGAAAAAGGGAAAGGAAAAAGAGAGAGCGAAGAGAGAAGAAAGACAGAGAGAGAGCAAAGAAGGAGAAGAAGCAGGAGAAATTTTCTGTCCTTTGAACTTAAAGTAGCTTAAGTATTTTTTTCCATGTGGATATTTTTAAATAATATTCAGTCTCTCATAAAATCATCTACTGTCTAGGATTAGAGACCTATGATCTCCTGGTACCATATGGCTCATCAAATGACTAAATTCCAAGAAATACTCTTGCTTGAGGATTAAGGCATTATAGTCTCCCCAAAAATGAATGTAATTTTTCATTGCAACTAGGGTAACTCTGAGATATTGATCTGTTCACATTCATCCATGCACTCAGGCATTCATTTATTTATGCACTCAGATGTCTATGCAAAAAAGCTACTGGGTTTTCTTGTGGATTTTCCACAAGAAAAACAGCAAACTAAGGATATAGTAGTCCACAATAGAGGACTAATTTCTATGCAAATAAAAACGTCTGAATGAACTACTTTTTTTTTAATTTTATTTTATTTTATTTGTGAACATACTGTACAGAGGGGTTACAATTGCATGGGCAGGATAATGCGTACATTTCTTACCAAGCATTGCAGCCTCCTCCTTTGTTTACCCTTCCCATCCCTTCCCAGCCTCCCCCCTCCCCCCCTGAATGAACTACTTTTAATGGTGGTTTTGTCTAATAGAGCTTGATTAAAGGCTCTTGAAAGTTGGGGTGATAAGAAAGCATGATAGAGTGGAACACAATCAGTGTACATTTTATGCATGACTGATGTGTCATGGTAGAAACTCTTAAGATGTTCAATTTAAAATGTCATCTCAAAAAAAAAAGAGAGATTCTGATCATCAAATGTCAAAGATAGATAAATATAAATAAATTGGCTCCTGGGTGCTGGTGTCTCACAGCTTTATAATCTTAGCTACTTAGGAGGCTGAGACCTGAGGATCATGGTTTGAAGTCAGCCCAGGCAGAAAAGTCTGTGAGACTCTAATCTCCAATTAATCAGCAAAAAAACCAAAACCAAAAACAAAAAACCCTGACAATGGAGGTATGACTCAAGTGGTAGAACATCAGCTTTGAATCAAAAGGCCCTGAGTTCAAGCCCCTGTACTTGTACTAAATGAATATGTCTGTCAAGGCTTTTGCCATTCCTTATGTTGAATTATTTTCCTGTTACCTCATCAGAAGCTAAGATCTAAACATCTGACAGTGCTTTGAGGGAACATCTAGAATCTTCTCTCTATGAACTAGAATCTCCAGTGCTTTGCCCATTGTATCAGATTTGGCTTTTTTGTACTATGTTACCTTCCATACTTACTCACCTAGGTATATTTGCCCAGGCAAGATCAATGTGTTGAAGGAAAGTTTTTGTGAAACGCCTCAAAGTCATTCTGATGAGTGTCTTGAGGAAACCCTACAATAATAATATTCCTGGCAGTACAGTTTATTTTCAAGAACATCAATCACCTTTTTCACTAGAAAGAGAACAAGTTTCAGTTAAAGTTTAAAAAAACTGAAAAAGAAAAAATAATATGAAAGACTCTCTTCTCAAGGAGTAGCAGCATTTCATTTCTGCTCTTAAGCAGAGAAAAATAAAACTCCTCTCACTATTGCCACCTTGTGGACAGAGGTGCTCTCTTTAGCCAGCACATAGGAACATGTGTGAGTATGACCACAAGATGGCAGCATACAACCAGAATTTCCAAGAAGGCAGCTCCAAAATACAGTTTTGTGCTTCAAATACTCTAGCTACAAAAGGGAAGTAGGGATCTATAGGTTAGACAAGCAATCTATACTCTTTTCTTAAAGGAAAATGTGATTCTGAGTTCCAAGATCATTTCACAGACACCTTGACTCATTTCAGGAAAAGGAGGCACAATTGAACTGATCTATTTGTAGGCTTTTGAAAAAACATTTCAATTACTGTTTAAGTTGCTCTGATATTTTCTTCATTGGGTGTTTTTTTTACCCATTTTTTTAATAATCTCTCTTTACTTGACTAGTAGGAAGTGTTTTCTTAACGTATTGATTAGACATATAGACTCAAACCAGGCTCTGGGGGCTCATGCCTGTAGGTCCCAGCTACTCAAGAGACTGAGATCTGGAAGACTGTGGTTTGAAGCCAGCCCAAGTAGAAAACTTTTCAAGAGTCCATCTCCAAACTAACCAGCCAAGTTCTGCTAGGGGAGAATTTACTTCACCCTGTGATACAGACCATAATGCCAGAAAATATACTGTTTGAGGGTTTTTTAGGTGGACAAATGAAAATTCCACAAGGAAGGGGATTAAAGGGTTGCCCCAAACCTTGGATACTATACAGACTTGATTTTAAAAATAGGATCCCTTTCCTGCTAACTAAGAGAATGAACTACTCCGATTCTCATTTTCCAAAGTTAGTGGGATGTGAGCATCTATTTACTTTCACTGACTGTGAGTGTTCTCTTTGGAGTCATTGTGCATGCACAGTGCCTACCAGGCAGGGTCTGAGCTCCAAGAGCCAGGCTGCAGTAGCTGACCTGACCCAGGCCTGCCTCAGAGATCACACAAACACAATTGACGTCGTCGACAGAGATGAAGAGTCATCTCGAGTCATCTCAAGTTATCCTGAAGGAAAGCAGAGTTTAACATTCAGAGATTTCACTGGCTCAAGGAGCGATGGCAGAACTTCCCTGTGGAAGTTGACATCCAAATGCTGAGTAAGTGAGTGAGTGAGTGAGTAAGATTTTTAGTAGCATTATCATTGGGCCATGAGCCATAGAGCAGACAAAACATGGTGTGGAAATTCATAGAGGAAATCTGGTGAGATGACAGATAGCAAAGAGCCCCCAAGAGCCAGACTAAGGCTTTGTGTCTTAAGCCACCAGAACTCATGAGCAAATCTCAGACAGGATTAGAAGGAGACAGAGGGTCTGTTTAAGAGACTGAGGCTGAAAAGTCTTGTCACATCACTTTTTCATTTCAATCATGTTGCTCAGAAATGTAGAGCTGTGTGCTAAGGGCCAGAGAAAAGAGTATGAGTATATCATAGAGACTCCTAAAGCATTAATCTGGTTCCAAGATTCAACATGGTGTCTGATAGAAATCTTGCATATTTATTTCTAAAGATACAAGTGTCTTGTGGCTTATTTGATAAGGACAATTAAAATGAGACACCTGTGATCACTTCCAACCTTGGCATTTATTTATATGCGCAATAATTAGCAAACCTACTACCTCTCAGGGTCTCAGGATCTCATCTGAGGTCGACAAGATGTACAATGTGCTGCCTTCATGGAACATATATTCTAATGGAGGAGATAAACTCGAAATGTCTAAGTATGCAACAGGGAAGCATGTAGAGATTAAGTGGCTATTTAGATTACAATACTCAGTAAAGATGAGTGACTCCGATCAATATCATGGTACACATAAATGGACAAGTTCAACTGAAATCCTTTGTCCAGCAGTTTGAAGGTTTAAAACTAAGCAGAGAAGATAATAGAGTGTATTTTTTTAATATTGGGAAGAATTTCATGGTTTGGGGACATTGCTGTAAAAATCAGGATAAAGTGATCTGGTTAGCAAGACAGAGATGTGGGAAATGAACATTTCACGCAAGTGGAAGAGAGTGCAAGAAGGTTTTCAAGTTTGTATGGATTTGTCTGTTCGAAGAAGATCAAGAAGTCAATTTGCTTGAGTGGAGTGAACTGGAGATAAAATGGCGAGATGTCCTTGGGGATGAGACACAAACATACTTCTCTATGTTCTGGGTTCACAGTCCTCACACACCTGTCTCCCATAACAAATCTGTTACGTTTTTACTGTCTCCAACTGCACATTTCTCCAACGCAATCTCCTCCCATTTGTCCTTCATTCCATCTCTGTCAATCTGTCCTACTAAAGTCTTCTTTCCTCCTTTCCTCTCATTCTCCTTTCAGTGGAGAGTACCAGACAACTTCCATGTTTGTTCTAAAGTGATTAAGAATTATTTTTTTTGTTTTGCTCGATGTTTCTTTTGTAGAAATTGGCACCACCGTGCACTTCAAGCAAAAAGGTATGGCTCTTCCTTCTTATCTTCAATGTGTGAGTGACCATCTCCAAGCCAGCTAGTAGTCTATAGTCTTCTATTCTTGAGTTTATTTCAATTCAGTCATTTGTAGTGACGTTTCCATAACAAACGTGGGGCTATTTTGCAAGTTGTAAACTTTCTCATTTCCTAAAAAAAAAAAAAAATCATCTTGTCCAACTTATCCCGCTCTGTGTGTGTGTGTGTGTGTGTGAGTGTGTGTGTGTGTGTGTGTGTGTGTGTGTGTGTGTATACACTGGTACTGGGGCTTGAACTCAAAGCCTAGGTGCCGTCCTCTTAGTTTTTTTTTTTGCTCCAGGCTGCTGGTCTTCCAGTTGAACTACAGTGCCATATCTGGAAATGGTGTTTAATTGGAGATAAAATATCTCATGGACTTTTCTGCCAGGGATTGGCTTCCACCTGTGATTCGCCAAGCTCAGCCTCCTGAGTAGCTAGAATGACAGGTGTGGGCTACCAGCACCTGGCTTCTATTTTACTTTGGACCATTTTTATACCCCTCAACCTTTAAATGGAGTAAGTTATTTTCAAGCACGCCATGTTCTCCCTCACCACCTCCATTCTTCATCTTCTGGGATCCATTTTTAATTCTCACAAAGCAGCGTTTTTAGGAGAGCCGCCTCCTGCTAACAGGCCCCGCAAAGACACACGGGGCATGCTCTGCAGACATTTTTGGGTTTTGAAGGAAACACACTGCTAGATGATGTGTAGACCTAGCAAATGGGGCAGGGGCTCTTCAAAATGAAGCCTCGTTGTAGTTACTATTTCCTCCAGCCCCATCATTCCCCGGATCTTCCTTGAGCCTCACGTCCTGCTGGACCCTCCCAGGCACTGAGGTTTCATGTCCTCCACGACCTTCCGTCAGCCACGTCCCCATGCTCTGCATTCCTGTCTCCACAGGACAGTGCAGCCATCCCAAAAGCTCACTGCACACACCCTAAAGTTCAAACAACTTCTAATTCTGAGTTGCCTTCTCCACAAGCCAAATAGATAACATTTATGGCACACTAGAGCCACTGCATGGCTGGACACCACCACCTTTAAGTCTTTGTGGTCACCCAGTTGGATCGGTGATTTTCTCACAGGAAGGTGTGTTCTTCTCTGAAATCCAAAGAACATGTGACATCCAAGATCATTATCAAGAGTCAACACCTATTCTGTGGGACTTAGGCTCTCCCAGAATCTAGGAGCCCCAAAGATGATGAGTACCTGGTTGCTGGCTTCCAGTAAAGGTTCATTCACTTGTTTACAGTCTGCTAACAGGCCCACACACAAGGCAGCAGGAAAGAGGCAGTCCAGAAGATGAATTTGGAAGTAGGGCCATTGGAGACAAAAAACGAAAACAAAAACAAAACCATAAAACAGCTCATATCTCCTAATGCTAGCTATGATCCTCAAATTACCTATTACATTTAATTATATATAAATGCACATGCACACACACACACACACACACACACACACACACACACACACAGAGCCTGGCATTGGTGGCTCACACCTGTAATCCTAGCTACTCAGGAGGCTGAGATCTGAGGATCACAGTTCAAAGCCAGACTAGGCAGTGAGACTCTTAACTCCAAGAAATCACCAGAAAACCGGAGGTGGCGCTGTGGCTCAAGTGGTAGAATGCCAGCCTTGAGCTGAAGAGCTGAGGGACAGCACCCAGGCCCAGAGTTCAATCCCCATGACCAACAAAATAATAATAATAATAATATGCCTATTACATGTTATCTTAATTGACAAGTGTTAAATGTGATACTTAGGGCTTTGATATGGATGATGAAATGTTATTGTTGTTGTTGTTTTTAAATTCAAAGACCATTAAGGTAAACATCCACAAGAAATCACTAAAATTTTAAAGGATTGGGGGTTAAAATTCATGCAATGACCCTAGTTTATCTGTGCAAATATTTCAGCCTACCTTAATCTCACTTTGTAGAGGTTGAAAATAATGCACACAGACTAATATAAGAAGAACCCACATTTAGTGCTAAATCCATTACTAAGAGAAAACATCAATACTTGTCTTCCTCTTGTCTGTACATTGCCGGCTTGAATCTCCAATTCATTCATGCAGACAAAGCTGTAGTAGTGACAAATGGATGGCAGGGGGCGCCAAAGTCAATCTTATCACTCTTCCCTGTCAACATGGCTTTCCCAGACACTACAACCACAGGCTTTGCCTGAACATTTAGGTATCAAAGAGAGCTATTTAGAAAACTCTAGATTGTGGTTCTCCTCTGATTAACATTTTTTTCACAAATCGTTTAGATTTTTTTAAAAATTTTAGTCACTCCACCAGCCGCTGACAATTCTAAAGACTTTAAACTTAGTTCCTCTGACCTGTTCTGATTCATTCATGTCTCAAAAGAGTATCCAGGGGTCCCTGGGGCAAGATTAAGGATGGTGTGGAATAAATCCATTCCCCAATCCAGGAAATGAACCCAGAGAAATCAGATGAAACAACACAAACCTGTTGGCCTGATCTGAATTACAAAGTATCTGAAAGTACAGGCTCATTTAAAACAGGTGTTAAAAACAACAACACATTGTTCTTTCTTTGACATTTTAGTGAAATATCAATGGATCTGGAACCTATAACAGAGTTTCCAGTATAGAGACTTGCTTAAAAAGGGAGGAGGGGAGGAAACAAGGGAAGAATAAAGGAAGGAAGGGGAATACTCATATTCTTCAACTTCAGATATTTTATCAATAATTGTTCCTTATTTTATTTTATCAATTAATTCATTAATTTTTGGTTATGGGGCTTGAACTCAGGGCCTGGACATTATCCCTGAGCTTTTCTGCTCAAGACTAGCACTCTATCACTTTGAGCAATGGCAGCACTTCCTGTTTTCAGGTGGATAATTGGAGGTAAGAGTCTTATAGACTTTTCCGCCTGGGCTGACTTTGAACTGCAATCCTCAGATCTCAGCCTCCTGAGTAACTAGGATTACAGGCATGAGCCACCGGCACTTAGCTAAGTGCACCTTCTATAAGCATTGTTACCCCAAGGTACCACACAGTTTTCACCCAATATCTCAATTACTCTACCAGTGACCCTACCCTGCTTTGTCTCTGGATGTTGACTCACCGACTTGTAGTCATACCACTGAATTTTTCTCCTTAGTGTTCAACATTAAAAGCTTTGATCTAATTAAAAAATGAATATATTGGATGCAGGTTAGTATTTCATTTATTTCTGCAATCCAAATTTCTATGTTAATAATGATGCCATTATTTACTAACTACCATATACCATGTGTATATATATATATATATATATATATGCCTATATGTATATATGTGCACAGAATGTGGTTATATACAAAGATAGGATTGTTGTTTGTTAGATGAAAAACATGTCTCAAGTTTTTGCATTGTATGTCTATTTGCCCATCTATTCTTAAGACTAATTTATGTTTGCAGACTCTTGCTTTCATTATATCTGTCAGTATATGAAAGCACGTGCTGAGCCTGGCCATCTGGCACGGGAAATAAGATTTTATCATTTGCATTTCCACAAATAAGCAGAAATTTCATAACTATGAACTAAAACATAATTAATGATTTTGCTGATTATTCTTCCCTGAAATAGCCATTAGCTGAAGTAGTCTCCTATGCAGTCACATATATCTGTAATTGTGTGAACACTTGTGATGATTCTCCAGCTATCACCCGTTAGCCTGGCATTTCTCAAGTCTGTTTATTTACTCTCAAAATCAATTATGACAAGAGCAAGTAACAGAAGCACATGGAATAGCTATCTGAGAGCACTTGATAAGTAATATTTGGTAGAAATGGAGATAAGATATATTTAACAGATACATACAATACATTTCAAATATAAAATAGTACTATTAGGGATAAAATGAAAGCTGTTCAGCATAGGCCTTTCTCCATACCACAGAATAAAATGAGGAAGCAGCAATTAACTGTATTATGTGTACTTAAAAAGCCAAAAATATGTTTGTATATCATATGTGTACGGATGAATATATCTACAGCATATGCACTTACTATTATTTACAGATATAAATATAGAGTTATACAAATGCCTATATAATATATGTTATATTTTTCAATGATAGGATTTTGCTTTGTATACTAACATTTTTATTTATTTACTAAATTTCATAACTCTTTTAGCCTTTCACAAATGTCACTCGGTTCCAGGGTGTCAAGATTGTATAGCATCCTTATGATGACATGAGATTACAGAGATAATCACAATGTGATATGTATTTTTTTAACTGAACACCCATTTCATAATATTCCATGGGCAAAACATGAATCAATTTTTTAACTCCACAGGTCCTAAGTTGTAGGTAGACTTTTCCCAATGTCTCACCAATATATCCATATTTACTCAAATGTACTCATGAGCTCAGGCTATCTAATATAGAGAGAAGAACTAAAAGGGTAAGGAAGTAAAATAGTATCACTAGACTAGAAGCTCAGGAAATGTCAAATGAAAGAACTTTGCTGCTAAAACTTAAAAACCTGTGGGACAAAAGACATGGAAAGAGTAGATTAGGAAAGACATAAGCGAAGCCTAAATCCCTTGGACTCTAGTGCCTACTCATCAAGAGTTTACCTCAGAATGCTGAATTTCTTTGAGTCTGACTTCCTCATGAGGCAGATATTTCATGGTAGCAAAAGTGCCTTTTCGTAGGAGCCCACAGTCATTCCAAAAAGCAGAGAATGAATTGGGCTAGTTATTTAATTTGTTCATCTTGTTTCCATAGCTCTATTCATATAGAGCACAAAACTGAAGTAAATAATATTCTTTATATTGTCAAGAAGGCATCAGTCATAATTGTGTCTAGGCTGGCAATCCGAGGGCAGCATGAGGGAAGAGAAGCCATGCTAAGTTCAATTCTCAGGTTCAGAGCTCAGGCTGCTCCAGGCTTTAACTGCCTTTTAACTTCCCAACTGGACACGCTTGTTGTTGATGTTGTCCTTAGTGTTTTGATTTTGGAGTTTTTTGTTTCTGTTGTTTTGTTTTTTAATTAAAAAAAATGGCAAATGAAGAGCTTGGGAAAAAACAGGTCCCTAGTTCCTTGGTGAGTTGTTTTTGTTTTTGTTTTATGCTGGTCCTGGGGCTTGAACTCAGGGCCTGGTGCCATCCCTGGGCTTTTTGTGCTCAAGGCTAGCACTCTATCACTTGAACCACAGATCCACTTCAGTCTGTTTGGTAGTCAATGGAAGAAAAGGGTCTCTTGCAGACTTTCTTGCCCAGGCTGGCTTTGAACCCCAATCCCCTGAGATCCCAGCATCCTGAGTAGCTAGGATCATAGGCCTGAGCCCCCGGTGGACAGCTCAATTTCCTCTTAAGACTACAATGTGTTGATTTATTTTCTTCTTTGCTCAAGTGTCACCCATTCATAAGAAGAAATAAATAATTATCATTTCTTTCCTAAGACACAAAGGAATCATGGACTGGCTCCATGTTTTATTGATGGAGCTGTTTTGCCCAATGGACAACACACTGTGGGGTTGCTGAGAGCCCCCTTAGCAATGCTTGCAACTTCAATCAACTCTGGCCTCATGGTGCTTTGTGGGAAAGAACATGGGAGAGGAGCTGGGTGGCCAAGGGACTGCAGGGTCACCAGACAGCCATGATAGCCTGTGTAGAGTTTTTCCAGCAATAGTTATGGACTTAGGTGTTTCAGCAACAGATTTCCCTTTAAGATGCTTGTACCTCACCATGGACAAGAGCTTAGGGAAATTGCAAGCCCTTCCTAAGCATTGGCATAGAGGTATCAATAGCTAGCCTACCTTTCCCTGACAGCAGTCAGCTGTCCCTCAGAATGGCAGTCTATAATTTCTCTTCTCTCTCTCTCTCTTCCTTTTTTTTCTCTGCAGGACCTGGATCGGTGAGAGGAATCAATGGATCCATCAGTCTGGCTGTACCACTGTGGCTGCTGGCAGCATCTCTGCTCTGCCTTCTCAGCAAATGTTAATAGAATAAAAATTTAAGAATAATTAAACATACACACACACAAAAATGTCACACAGGATACAGAGAGAGAGAGAGAAAGAGAGAGTGTGCAAGATTGGGGGGGAGAACATTTATTTCACAGTTTTGTGTGTTTATAAATGAGGGGGAAATAATGCAAACGAAGAAACAGATACAACATTTTAAACAATGTTAAAGTCCATCAATAAAAAATATACCTATACTTCAGAGTGGGGAAACAAAATGCTACCAGGATGTGTGTGTATCTACTAAGCAAATGAAGGCTTGTGTAAAGACTCCATCATGCTAAAGACATCTGATGTTGTAAAAATAATAATAATAATAATTAATAATAATAAGACAAGAAATACCAGTTGGAAATTAAGCAAATCCCCACACACACTTTATTCTTCCTTCCTTCATCCTTTTTCACTTGTGGGGAAAAAAAAAAATCAAGATCATACCTTCGGTGTTTATATTGCCATGATCTTTTACTTCTGTTTTTCATTTGAGCTGACCTGTAGCCATTTTGGACTATCAATGGAGTCCCTGTGTTGAGCTTTGGCCAGGCTCTCCTGCCTTCACGAACTCTCCAACTTTTGAGATCCTCCCCTCCCCCTCCAGTGTGTTCGATCCTCCCCTAGGCCTCATTCCAAACAGTCCCTTTCTATCCACCCCTTCTCTTCACCTTCACTACTACCCCTTCCTCTCCCCTCCCCCTCCAGAGCACTCATCAGGCCGCAAATGCTAGGAAGTGCCATTTTAATTTCTCTCCACTGTGCGCGTGTGCCCAAGTCTCTCTATCTCAAGTGAGTGTACATGTGTATGAGCGTGTGTGTGTGTCTCTCTCTAAAGCATGCCAAGGGAATGGCCCGTGTGTACATAGACTCATTGTGCTGTAGATGCTGTCCTGCATTGTAATTGTGAGATGCGGCTGTCACTAGTTGCTCGGGGAGATGATGGGGTGGGGGAAGGAAGGGGAAGGGAGGGAGGCAAAGAGCAGAGTCCCCCCTCTCGTTCATGGCTGTCACATGACATCAGTGTGTATTCAACCTGAGCTGTGCCCCTTCCAAGGCCAGCACCCCCATGTTCCTCCTAGTCTCATCATCAGAACCCAGTCGGGAGTCACCCAGAATATCACTGTCCGTGAACGTGCCTACGACCCATTGGGGTGAGCGAACAGTGGGACAGACCAGCGATGCCAATGACCTAGGGGAGCAGAGTGTCCGACGTCACAAGTCTGAGGGATTCATAGAATTCCTGGCATGTTTGCAGCTGGGCCCAGTGCCGCTGGTAGAGCATGCAGCCTGAACTGAACAAACCCCCCCCCAGAGTCAGGAAAGTGTCCAAGTGGTATCTCCCAAGGGAAGATGGATGGACCACATGGAGCTCCTAAGCAGCCCGGTTCTGCCTCCTTCTAATCTTCGAATAACACTGCATCTACCCCATCAATTCCCCCGAGCAGCGATTGTTTCCTCTTTCAGATATAAAATTGTGAGAACGAGGGAGACAGGAAAAGTGAACAGATGCCCAAGTCCATTCCCACATTCTGGGGACACTGTGAGGCATTGCCTATAATTCCGTGTACTCCTTTGCAGATTTTTTGCCCTGGTGTTCTAAGCTGATATTTTGTTTGGGTTACCCACGTTGTCTCCCTTCTCTTCTACCACTGATGTGTGTAGCACCAGTGTTCACAGTGGTTCATCATTATCCTAAGCCAGACCAATAAAAGTTGCATTCTATTCACCTTTGCCGTTCTATTTAAATGGAAATCCATCTGGGTCATCTGGATACTAACACTAAAATATGAGCTAATCCTTTCACCAAATATCTCAGCAACTGGACATTACTTCCGATAGAAATTGTGTAAGCAATACAAAGCTTGACATCTCCATATCACCAAAAGAGTTTTCTTGAGTAAGGTCTTGCAGAGATTGCTGGCTGTCTGCAGATAGTTAGCTTTGCCAGATAACCAACCATTGCTCTTGTCTACACTATGGGCATGTTGGAAGTGGATCCCGTTGTGCAATGACAGGGGTTTATTGTTGAGGTCATAATAAAATGTAATCACCCAGAGCCAAATATGGTAGTTCATCTCGTTTTTGAACCTTGAAAACAGCTGTGATATTATATAAACAAGAAAATTCATGAAAGAAAGAAGAAAGACAAAGAAGAAAGACAAAAAGAAAAAGAATGAGAAAGAAAAGGAAAGAAAAAAGAGAAGGAGCCTGGAGGAAGTGTTTCAAAACTCTTCTAGGGAGTCTGTATTCTTATGACACATTCTTCTCATGATTTTTCAACATAAAACAACAACTTGGGGATGAGTATATATGGCAGATCTTGAGATAGGACAAAACTCTTGATCACAAAGGTAGGCTAGTAAAATACACCAAAAACCCACGTTCCTTTGTAGCATTCATTTATTGACAGAAGTTTCTCTAACAATTTGGTCTTCTTAGTAGAAGAATAAAAGAATATGTGTTCCCCATATGTTGACCAGATATCCACATTGTTAAGTGGAAAATGCATGCTAATTTAAAAATACAGAAAGGGAAAAGGAGCTGATGGTTCTGATGTCATTTAGTATTCAGTTTAGGAACAGATGCTGGTGGACTGCCACAGGTTTTAGTCACACATCTGGTCTTATCGTCTCCACCTTACCACAAGGAAAAGATCTTGGTTTTATGGGAGGAGTTTCCCCATTGAAAACAACTTAACCATGACTGCACTATTTGTGTTCTTGGTTTTGCTATAATAAGCCATCTATTGAACATAAACCTAGGTCTTTTAAGTATGGTGATTTCCTGTTTCTCTATATGATTCTGAGATCTCTATATGATCCAGATTAAGAATATTTTCCTATTCCCATTTCAGAAAGAAATATTGGCCCTAGAGCACTCATAATCTGAAAATGTCTTTAGACCATGTAGAGAATGGACAGCAGCATAGCTCAGAGAATAAGGCCAGACAAAGGACCCCAAGAAATCATGGAATCTTAACACAAGACTTTTTAGAATTTAATCACCTTACTATAAATCTGTCCAAGAATCTTGTTTGTGAGTAACCAATGCACTTAAAAACAACAGGGTGGAAATAATATACTGACAAATGAATGCATCAATTCATTTGAACACAATATACTTCATGTCTTTTACATACAAAATGCAACTTTATCATGCATAAAACAAAATCCTTCCCCTTGACTATTAAGAAAAGTAGAAGTGCCCTTGTCCCTTTCTAAAGAATGAGAACCATCCTAGGTTTTATAACAAGACCACTGTAATTATAATCTGTGCAGTTGGTTATCAAAAAGATTTTGCCTCCTTAGATGAACATTTTTCTTGTTTTAAGACATAAAATCCTTTTGTACAAAAAGAAGCAAGTCTGATATAAAGGTAAATGGGAAGGGTTATCTCACTAGCTTTTGCCTTTCTTCCAACTCAGACTGCTTTTCTTTTTTTCTCTTGCCTTGAACATTTATTTTTTTCTGAAACTACATAGTCACACAACTGGGGCTATTCCTAGAGACCTTGGAAAAATACTAGTGATTTCCATGTTCTTGGGGGAAAGAAGCACAAATCTGTTTCGCCTCCAAAGATGGACTTACCTCCTTTGCATACAGCACCTAAATTCCTTAGCATGAAATCGTTTTGAGATATTACCTACCAAGTTGTGACTTTCACACTCCAGACTCACAAATACATCCTTGAGTTGATTATGGTTTGACTCTTTCTACTGGCTAGTTTCCCTGAATTTCTCATTTTGTTCTTTGCAGGCTTTGAATTATTTGTAGAAACACTATATATATATAAATATATGTATGTGTGTGTGGGTGTGTTTTTAATCTTATCTTTACAGATGCTATATTTACAATAATGTATTATAAGAAAAATTAGAAGAATGGTTTAACCTTAAATGAAAGTATTGAATTTGGTTTATTAAAAAAGAAACTATGCTTAATTTAGAAAGACATGGAGCCCCATTTTATAATTATATGTTTAAAAGAAATCTGCTTCTAGACAATGTATGCTAGGAATAACCATGTCTTCATTTATTTCTTCATGTTTATAAACATTTAGCTTGAATTTAGTCTTGGTTCCCAAAAGCTATCCAGTTTTACAGCAATCTAATTGCAATGCTAGACCCAATTTTAAAAAGTTTTAAAAATCTGAGACAAATATATGTATTTTTTAAAAATGTTGAGATAAGACGCTGAGTTAAGAAACCCAAATCTAATTTATAAAGTCCCCTTTGCCCCAATGATGTGAATTTCCCATCACGGTTGGCATAATATCTGTAAACATTTCACTAAATGCAAAATGGAGTTTGTATTTATATGCCTACAAGTGGGGAAAGAAGTAAACTGTGGGCATTTGCATTTGAGTTTGTTGTCCAAATGTTGCCAACTGAAATTCAAGAATTTGTTTTTATCGGCCATGTACATTATTTAACTCTTGGCAAGGAAGCTGGTGTTAATATTAGGTTTAGGTTTAACATTTACACCAGAGAAATGTTTATGGATATTGTGGAAACCTTATTTTCAAATCTTGATTTCTTCTCAGTGCATTTACATACTTTGTGTTGATTAATAAATTAGGCACTAATCATGTGTAAATCACTAGTTTATGTATATGATATAAACTATGTAAACTTCATTCTTCCACACAGGGCCAGAGTTCAGCTAAGCCTATAAATCTTAAAGAAAACAACAGCAACAACAATGAATGAGATTAAGAAAAACCAAAGCATTGCATAAGTCAAATGGCAAGAAATAGAATTAAAGGCCCAAATTTAAGGTTTTCTCACTAAAAACACCCAGACCCAGGAAAACATCTTACAGATTTCAGTCCTGCCCCAGGTTATGAGTGAACCTTCTGGTTCTTACCAGGAATAAGTGGAGCTGCTCCTACCTGTTGTACAGTGAATTCTCCTGGCCCAAACTGAGGGGCGTAAAGAGAATTAGAGGAAGAGTTTGAAGGGTTCATGTGTCTGTGGTATCTACTCTCAGGTGTCCCTTCATTTCTTCTTCAGCATCTTAGTTATCTTATTTAAATTATTCCAGGAAAATTCCCCCTGCTTTGAGGATCAGAATAGGATTGTTTCTGTTTTCCACACAACAACAGTGTTGGTAAGGTTCCTGAGTCATTTTAACTCTAATAAATAATGAGATATAGGAACAGGATTCGTCCCTGAGAAATATCTTGCTAAGTCAGTGTAGAAAATAATGATTTTACCTTATATAGTAGCCCCATGTTCCTATACATGTATGTTGAATGTTACAAATAAGGGGAGAATCACTATCAGCTGAGAGGAAGTCTCTCTCAGGCTTTCTGAATTGCCTGATACATTTAACAGAAAGGTATTTATGTATTCTATTCAATCTAAACACACTGAAGTTAAAGAGTCATCAAATGGATGACTGCAGGAACCACATGAATGTTCTTGGATTGCAAGAAATTTGTTTGTAGTACACTCCTTTCCCAACAGAAAAGACAACTGTGAAGTGAAGTAGAAAGTGAATGGCATTGGGGGTCACAAAAATTGGACTGTAGCCCTGGGTCTGGCCACAAAAAAAAAAAAAAAGAAAAAAGAAAGAGAGAAAGAAAGAAAGAA